GTCCTCCCTGGGGATTCCCCCCCCCCCCCCCGCCTTGTGCGGGCGGCTCCCACCCTCCGTCAGCTGCATCGTCCTGATTCCGCGCTCCATGCCCCGTAGCCCCGTCTCCCGCCGGAGTCCGCGCACCCCCCAAAGCATCCCTAAGGAAGGCGTCGTATGCCAAACCTGCGCATAGATTTCGATGTACCGGTTGGTTGCACTACACGGTAGTGTAAAGACTCGTTAACATGATACCTTCCCTCCACCAAAAGAAAGGTATTTCAGTTATTATGAGTGGAATGAGGTACCGTGGAAAGCACTGGGCCATATCAGCCGCATTTTTCACTGCCGACTATCACAATAAAGCGTCGACGTATGTATGCTTATCCTGCGGAACTCTTCTTCTCGCAGAGAGGCGGACAAGGAGCGCGTTCATGATGTGTCATGAGCACAGCGTGATGTGCGGCGAGACTGCCGTGACTGTCTAGCTGCGGCGCGTTTTTCAAGGTCACTTCTAGTCACTTCGGCGATGTCCTCACCATTAGCCTTGCAGAACAGGCTACGCCGAAAACCTTGGCAATGTCAGTAGCCACGTACCTGATCCACCCAGCCGTGGTGCTCTTGCCTAGGATTATCCCCTCCTAGATAAGCTTTCCACCTCTCCGTCAGGCCTCTCGCCAGTTGGATACTGACGCCCAGTGATTAAGGCTTCGGGAGGAGGCGTGTTTTGTGTATAAGTTCTGCGCGCCAGCGGCGCATAAAAAAAAAAATTTCCTAAACCAAATAACACTGTGTGTGCCAAATTCTTGGGGGCAGACAGAGTTTTCTCTCTATGTCTGTTGGGTGGCTGGTGTTGCATACTGATGGTGGATGTGGGGACCGGTACGCGTGATTCGTGTGGCCCCGGTTCCTACTCTTCTCCCCCCCCCCTGGCGAGCAAAGGGGGTGCAAATTAATATACCAAATTCGAAAGCATCGAGCAAATACGTCATTCAATCTTCCGCACACCCAAATCCCCCTCGTACCCATACAGCTCTGAATTCCTACATCTGCGGACGCCCTCTTAGCTCTCAAGCCAGCAGAGCAGAGAGCAGCCGCGGCAGTGAGCACCAAAGCAACAGGTTTCGGACATCTGTGAGAGAAGGGAAGCATGTCATCGAAGCCTGGAAAGACAAAGAGCAAGGCTACGCGTTGGGGAAAGGCAGCGACGGCGAAACCAGCAGCTGCTGCTGGCGGACGAGGTGGCATCGTCGGCATGGAAACAGATGAAGCAAGGAGGATCAGGTTGGTATGCACCTTGCACACAAGTAGGTTTACCCAATGCAATATGCAATACTCCATGTACACCAACTATTGTGTATTGTTGGCTGATATCCTGTGCGTAGCAGTTACAGATAGTGGTGGTGACCGAGATCGAGCTCAGCTCACAGGTGTTTTATGGCAAACGCAGACTTTTCTTTTGATATGCAGACTCGTATGTAGCATGCAGCAGTATCGTCACTCCGCCGCGCAAAAGGGCTATAATAGAGCAGTATTCAGACTGGGACCAAGTTTGGACACAACACCCAGACTATGTAGCTAGCTCTGTTGTGGTCATTTTTCTGAGCGCATTCGATGAAGCAAAGTTGATGTATTCAAGGTACACGTCGCGTGCTGCTGCTGCTGCTGCTGCTGCTGCTGCTGCTGCTACTGCCGCTGTCGGTCCAGATAGGGAAGGAATGCAACAGGCAACAGGCGGTCGCTGCTGTGAACAAATGTTTTTGAGTGGGGACCGTACACACAAGATACCACACCCCCTTGCGCCTAATTTCAACGCTCGCGATTACTTCATGACGAAGAGGGCGACAAATTCACATGATGTTTTTTTGGAAAACTCTCGACATGATGGTTTCAACATCTCAACGCCACCAGTTTAGCCACCATCACTGCCGTTGTTGCTGCAGAGTAATCGAGCTTTGAAAACCGGTCTCGGGGGTGTGGTATCCTCCGTGGCCTACGGTACCCCATTATAATAGGTAGTAGTACGACATGTGCGGGTGCGCGCCAGCTGCCTTGCCGTCTACTGCGTAAAGCCTTGGAGTTGTAGAAGAGCTTTGCGTACTCACGGACAACAGCGGCGGGGATGGGCTCAGTAGCGCCTGTTAGCCCGCTCTAAATTCGGTAAAAATCGCGTTGTTGTACTTCAACAGTGCCGGCAACAGAGTAGTGCCGGGTGCCCGCTACCTTCCTCCACCTTGTTCAGTGAAGTCATTGCGCATCGTGCAAAAACTTGCATTCATTGCGCGTAAACTTGTGCTTTTGTGGGCATTTGGCCTCTGACCAAGTGGAAGGTGTCCGCGCCCGTTGGACCCTTGCGAATGTTACAAGCTTCTGAGCAGGAACCGGAACATGTTTTTTCATGTGACGACGACAGCAACAAGAACAACAACAATAGTCGGGCGTTTGCCGTCCCCTGTCTCCCAACCTCTGCTCCCTATTTCCGCGCATGTTCCTTGGACGGTGGTTGCTGCCGCCAGAAACGCCGCAAGATTTGCGGCACACATTGGTGGGGGATCGAATTCCCAGGTACATATACACCGGTCGCCCCGGTGGTCTAGTGGGTAGCCTCGCAGCCTTATAAGGGCCAGGTCATGGGATCGAGTCCCGACAGAGAGAGTTTTTTTCTTACTAAATAAATCCTGGTCTAGGATGAAAGCGACGCGCTGCAAAACTCGTTTGTTAGTAAACCATAATCGACTTCGTAAGTCGCGAGGGAAGGGATTGCTGTACCCTTCTCGCGATAAAAATACCTCAGGCATGAACCGCAGGAGGGGGTCCAACCCCCCCCTCCTACGTGACCCCGGTTGGGTCGTCTAGCTAGTAGAAGTGGAGGATAGGGTCCAGAGGGGCAGACGACAGAGTCCAATGATGGGAGAAAACCAACAACAAACAACATACACCCTCCTGTGTGACCACGAGTTGGGGTAAACGGCACAAGTGCTGTGAGCGCTGATTGGAAGTGAAAACAAGAAAAAATATACCCCCCTGAAGCTGTGTGCTTCGGAGTGCTACACAACAACGACCAAGAAAAACAGTGACCGCCGGGAAAATGCTCCGACGGTGTAGATTTACCGCATCACGGGGCAGGGGGGGGCGCGCTGAGGGAGTAGGCCAGGAGGGAAGCTTCGTTTTATCCGCTTCAATCGTTTCAATATGTGTCTGTCGCAAAAGTAAACATGTGGACTGCTGTATCCGTGTAAACTCACGGCAATAGCACAAGGGACAGTCAGCGTACGGGGATGTGTGGTGATGGCGTCCTCATGGATTGTTGCTGCTCATGCAATTCGGCCGTTGACTGCACCCCTTTTGAGACGGACCACCGTTCCTCCTCTTTGTACCACAGGTGCCATGTTTTTGTACGGTAGCGAACGTAATTGTCCTGTCGTGTCCCTTCCACTTTGGCGTTTTGTGGCCATCTACTCCTAGTCATATGGCGATCGTTTTCTCACTGCTACAACCTGGTTCTCCCCAAGCTTAGGCACCGATCCATACTCCCCTACCTGTCATGTGGGCCATTCGTGCCGCCCACTACAGCAGCAAGGTAGCGGCAAAAAGCGATCGCGATGGGCCATGGGCAACGGCAGCGGTAGCAACAGCACGGACCCGGTGCGAGGCACGTCGAGCTCGCTCGAGAAGAGCTACTTCCGTCTCACGTCCGCACCCAAGCCTTCGGACGTGCGCCCTCCAGAAATCTTGATGGTGAGCTCATGTGGTGGTTTTTCTGTCGGCGGTATTAGTACTGTTGAGGTCGCGTTGGTGGGACCTGGTGATGGCTAACCGTATGTCGGGTGTTGCTGTTTGGTTTGGCCATCGCAATGTGTGCATCATAAATGATTGTTTTTGCATTTTTGCTGCTGCTTGCTTCTTTTGTCGGTTTGATTGTTGCTACGATATCCCCTGCTGAATCCCTTCGGTACCCCCCCCCTCAGCATTCGAAAGATATCTCCCCCGTCTCATTCCCTTACATCGGAACTCGTGAAGCTTCGGCGCGTGTACGGGCTCATCACATCAGCGTTGTTTACCATCGGTGCCGCTGGGCCGTTTTAAGTATTTGTCGTCGTGTGCTCTTCTTCGTCAGAGATCGCTTCGGCACGTGAAGCGCAAGTGGGCCACCGAGGAAGACTACGAGTTCGTGTGTGACCAGCTCAAGGCTATCCGGCAAGATCTCACCGTGCAGGCCATCGAGGACGGGTGAATGCCGCAGCTAGAAAGAATCGTCTTCCCGCGTTTACCTGCGAGGACACGATGTGTTTCTCTTGCCAGATAAGACGCCGGCTCATTGATCCATTGCTACAAGGCACGGCAGGATTCTGGCGAGCAGGTCGTCGAGAACGACGAAGGGCCGTCGTAAACCCTGCCCTTATATTTGCTTGTAGGTCTCTTCGTTTTTTTGGTGCCTGTTTTTATCGTGTTATCTCGACAGCTTTCTTTCGTAGAAGCGCTCCAGATGCGCCCGGCAATACACTTGGCCGTGGAGCATAGGTTTTCCTTGCAAGAAGTTGGGTTCGTGGTGAAGGTGAAGAGGAGAACCATCTCGTACCTTGTCGAGTCCCCTCAACCCACGCTATTGCTACTGTACATACCACCACAACCCTCGCGGTCTGGTCTGCAGCCTGACGGTGGACGTGTACCAGACGCACGGGAGGATAGCGCTGGAGTCGGGGGACATGGAGGAGTACAACCAGTGCCAGTCGCGCCTGAAGGAGCTCCACCTCTCGGGCGTGCCCGGCGTGAGCATGGACGAGTTCACCGGTTACCGCCTCATCTATTCACTTTACCGCGAGAATCATCGGTGAGAGGGGAGAGGGGGAAGGACTTCGCACGGCAACGGTGCGTTACTTTTCATGGTTTACCGTACGTTGCCTGCACGCTGTTGCTGCAGGCTGCTGTTCACGCGTTGACCGATTTTTCCGGACGCCATCAGCTGCATTTGAACGATGTGTGCTTGTTTTGTGCTTCAATACTTGGAAGCATATCTACGCGAGCTTCCCGCTAGTAGAACCCGGGGAGCAGGGAGATGAACGCCACGAACGTTCCTTTAAAAGCCTGCCGATTGGCCCTCTTCCCGTGTTATACTCAAGACGTGCACGTCCTTACTGCTGTGCAGTTGCCAGTTATAAGTGTTTTTGTACATCGAGGTACACGCACTCATTTTCCCTTCTCCTTGCCCCCACTTCTTGTTTTTACGTCACGCAGGGAGGTGAACGCGACGATGATGGACCTGTCGCAGGAGGCGAGGCAAGGGGAAGGCGTGGCGCACGCGCTGGGGGTCGTGAAGTCCTACCACATGGGGGACTACTGCACCTTCTTCCGCCTGTACTTCGCCGCCCCGGCGATGAGCTCGTGAGTTTTGCGTGCCGCGTGCTACACTTTTTTGTCGTTTGATGCGCTTAAATTACGGGAAAGTGCAACCAGGTTATTAAAATATTTTGTAGTCGTCGTTTCTCGCGCGCTCGGTGCTAGAATTTGCAGCACGTTGTGACTTTCGCCGACCCCTTCTTTCATCATGCCCGAACACCTCGGGAAAAAAGTCGTTGTAGGATGGTGAACGCAAGCTAAGGAGTGTTCCGAAGGTAATCTCTCCAAGCTGCTGCGAAGTTGTTGCATATTGGAATTGGAGGACATGCGTCCGGAATGGACGCGCTCCACTCCAAGTTCTCAACCTAGTCTGTGTGAGGGTACTATGCCATTCTTGCCTCGCGAGTTTCCAAAAGAGAAGCTTACCCTCTGCCCGTGGTCGGTTGGACCACCGTCAAGGAATATCCATCCTCAGAGTAGAAATCTCCACACTTTATTGTTGTCCATGTGGGGTTTGGCGTGGCGCATGCTCCGAACATGATATGTATGTGGAACTTAATCTTCTTGCCCGCCTGGTGTTAGCTAAGCCCCACTGGCGTAAGAGCGGGGGGTACGCAGGATCATTGTTGTTTACCCCTAGGGCTCTAACCACGGGCGATCGACCACGTGGGTCTGTGCAGTAAAAGCAGTGTACGCGTGTGAGAACACACCCCGCAATATTGCCGCGTGCGATACGCGTCAGAAGCTTCCGTTCCCTCGTTGCTAACGATTGGCCCCTAACAAGTGCCAGGTATGTGGTAAGTGCGGGCTTCAACTGATTTCGTCTGTCCCTGCACTTAGTTGCATTTGTGAAGATTCGCCCCCTTGCATTTTTTGTTGCCCCATACAATTGGTACGATTGGTATTGTCTCTCACTTGTTCGCCCGCGTATACTTTTGACATTCATGCGAATGTTAATGTTTGCTCATGTGGTCGTCACTTCTTGGCGCATGAATCGAATCACGCCTTTATCTGTGGTGTCGACAGTTTCCCAAGCAACGTGTGGCGTCTCTCTCTCTCTCTCTCCCCCCGCCCCTCTCTCTCTGTTCGTTTCTCTTTGCGCCCTACAAGATGTCTGCACTTACCGTCAACGCTGGCGTCCGCGCCGCGACCGATTGATTGCTCTGTGCAGGTATTTGATGGACTTTCTTGTGATGAGGATGCGCCGGCGAGCGATCAAAACGATGATCAAGGCCTACCTGCCAACTATTCCTCTGTCCTTCATTCAGGTGAACAACGGCTGCTGCGACCGCAAAATGTTGCTTCATATTGTAAATGGATGCGGCGCCGCAATATGTTGCTTCATGTTGTAGATAAGTTCTTGTAGCTTCTTCTTTTTTTTTGTCTACACTTCAAATCAGCGCTCAACTTGTTCACTACCGGTCGGAGATGGTTGTGTGAGAAGCACATCACCTCAGGCAAAATGTTCACGTATTGGGACAGGGGACCCATGGATTTCAAAGATGTGGGCTGATGCTTCGATTTGGATTGGCAGGGGAAGAGTGTAATCGTTGCGGCCTTACCGTACCACAATGCTTCGTGCACTTGGTTACCGACGGTATGAGAGCCGTGCTACATTTATGCTACAAGTATGCGACAGTCAGGCATGCGGTTTTCGACTGCGTGAGAGTGATACCGGTCACGGTACGAACTCTAGAATTTGCCCTGTCCGCCCCCAGTCATGGAAGGCCCGTTTTCATGTGACAGGAGAGGCCGCCCGTTCTACCTGCGTGGGGATTGCAGTGACGTTGCTGGTGCTCCCGTTTCGGAGTGAAACGATGGTGTAGTTTCAGGAGAGTTGCGCCAACAATGCTTCCTTTGTCAGTGTTACCGTCGTTCAAAGTGCTGTTTTTGCGTTTTTGCGTTTTTGCGTTTTTGCGACGTGTTCTCTGGAAGAGCTCGTGTTTGACAATCGACTGCCATATGCGATCAACATGTTTATGGCGAGTTGCCGGTTGTCTTTTGGTTCGCAATGTCTCATCGGAGCATTTTCTGCCGCTAGGTGGTTCCCCGACTCGCTCGCTGTTCCTGATCGTCCTTTGGCAATATAAATAAGTATTTCGTATGTTATACTCGCAAAAGCTTTAGGGCGTCGAAGGAGCGCTGTTCGGGACCCGAATCAGACTCCCACACCTCTTTTGCCGCTGTTGGTGTTATTCAGGAACAGCTGAGGTTCGACAGTCGGGACTCGTTGCTGGAGTTCATCGACAAGGACGTCGAGGCGGCTCTTGCCGCACCGAAGGATGGCGAAGAGGCGGCGATAGACGTGAAGGCCACTCGAGCCGCATGGGCCAGGTTGTAGGACAGGTTGCCAAGAGTCGAGGGTATGGTACGGCGTGCGATTGATTTCACACCTGCGGTCGTTGTCGGTTCCAGTCAAAGTCGCGCACCTTCTACGCGGAGCCGAATGGGCGCGGAATGGCAGGATGATTCAAGTACACTACAAGTATTGTGATTGGTGTTGGTGAGGTTTTCGAGTCAAAGACACCGGGTCTGTCCCACGAAGGGAAAAGGGTGCCAAACTCGAGCGATGTTTGTTTTTGGAAATCGTTCAATGGTGCTCTCCGCTCCCGGTGATGGTGGTGGGGACACCCCCCCCGTGAGAGTTACCAAGCAACGAGGCGGTACAGATTTCGTCATGTCCGCAGTATCTTACATTCTCCAGTACTGTACGCGCGGCACAGCAGTGTGAGGCCTGGGGGGGAAGATATACATTAGAGCGTACCCGATGCAACCTATAATGCATATCAGCATGTCCAACCACCGCATCGATTGAGAATCACACAAGTGTGCAATAGTCGCGTTGCAACGCGTGTTGGGGGGTATGAATGGCGATGCTGAAGCTATGCTACCTTCACCCACTCCGGACTCATAACTTAGGTCGACCCTTAGGTCGACCCTTAGTATTTTCGCTCTGATCCCAGCAAAGTTGTTTCCAGAGCGCCGATGGCGCTTCATTTCGCTTTCTCTGGAACGCTGGGGGGCAACAATTCGATGGAGGCATGCATATATGTGGGCAGTGCCCTCATGCATCCGGGCGGTGGGGATACGACCAACGGCGCATCTCGGGTTTGTTCGCTTTTACCGTAAATGGCACAATATAAGACACCTACACAATATAAGAAACCCCCCACAGTATACGACACCCCGGTGGTAATTTTGGGCGTCTCTGACAGACCATCGAATTATCAGCGGGGGTACACAATATAAGAAACCCCGGTGGTATTTGTAGTTGCGCCGCATGCATTCGCGGGCCCCCTCCTTCTTTTATCACCCGGGGTGACAGCATCTGCCCTCGCGCATCATCACACCACACACACAGCTGTGTGCGGAGGAACACCCCGCATGCAGACCCCAAAGAACATGAACATGCAGGCAAAGCAGAGTGTAGCCGGCACTACCGGTAGTACCCCCGCTCCTTCGACCGCTGCTTCGGCAACTGCTTCGACTGTAGCAGCACAGGCGCCACAGCAGATCACCTCCTTCTTTGGGCCCGCGCACTCTTCTTCTACGAGAGAGGCTCCTCCTGCCGGCACTCTTGCTCCTGCTGCTGCTGTTGATCTAACAGGAGCAGAAGGAGCTGGAGCAGCAACAGGCGCAAACATGACAGCCTCTGCATCGCCTCAGCAGCAGCCAGTTGCTGGCTTGATGTCAGCAGCGCGTTCGAGCACCGAAGCCGACGAATCAACGCGCAGCAGCCAAGCATCTCAGTTGGTGGACGTGGTGGACGAGGAGCCCACCACTTCCGCTGGGACGGAAGAAAGATCCAAGTGAGTGTGCATGGTTTGTGCTTCGTGGATTTGGCGTACCGTAGTATCAGTCCGCGTGTGGTCTCGAAACGTGCAATTGTGGGTTAGCCTTTACGCCAACCCAGGGTTCGTGTGGCTGTATTTTTTTTTTTTTGCGCCACACTCTCCCGGTAGGTACATTTATCGTTACTTTATTTATTTTGCGTGCGGCCTTTTTTTTTTAGCCACACGTTCCCGGCACACATGTTGTGAGTTGTTTTGTGTGCGTGTGGCTCAACACGTTCCTGGTAAACGATTGCGTGCCCGTTCCGTCATTTGTTTCGTTGTATTATTTTTATGGCCATACCTACGTCGGTATTGTGCACATTTTATCGTTTATGTTCCTGCATGGCGTTATGTGTCGTGGAAATGCTGCCTCTTGTTTTGCAGCTGGCATCCATACCACCCTGGTTAATTTTCAATGGTGCCTGCTTTGCATATTTTTTATTCACCTGTGCTTTCAACCGCCGACGAGTTTTCGACATTTGGAATCGGTGCCCTTGTCGACTAGAAAACAATCAGCATACCGTCTTTGGTTCCTGCCCACACGACACACGTTTCCGTGCGTTCCACCGTTGAACCGCTTCGTGCCTTCCCGCACACACGTTTTTTTGTCTCCGTTTGTCTTCTCTAGGGTGGGTGGCACACCCCCTGCGCCTCCAGGTCCAGCATCACCGGTGCCAGCTCCAGCATCGGCGCCAGCTCCAGCACCGGCGCCCGTCCCAGCACTGGCGCCAGCTTCAGCACCGGCGCCAGGTCAAGCATCGGCGCCAGCTTCAGCACCGGCGCCCGCTTCAGCACCGGCGCCCGCTCCAGCACCGGCAGCAGCAACGCCGGCAGCGGGAGGAGCGCCGGTGGCCAAAGGTGATGCATCCGGCGACATGATGTTTCCCGGAGAAACAGAGCGGGGAGATGGGCTCGGCGGCGTTCTCTTCGGTACGCCGGCAGAGAACAAGAACAAGAGGAAGAAAGGACAGCTGGAGTTGGAGCCGCCGGGCTTCCCGATCCCCGAGTTTGGTGGCGGAAGCCAACGGAAGCGCTACCCTCTGAAATTTAAGGTGGATGCGGTGAGGTACTCACAGAGGAGGGTCAAGGGGGCACAAGGGCCGGACGGGACTGTTGGGATAACCTACGCGAGCAGAGTCCTGGGCATTCGCGACAAATCGACGTTGGCGTTGTGGGTCAAGTAGATCGACAAGTACGAAGCCGCGCTGGCGAAAATGGACACGTACAAGGGCGGAGCGAAGCGCAAGAAGACGCCAGCCAACAAGCGCTTGTCGCTGCATGCCGGACGGATCCGGACGCACACAGCGGCCGAGGGCGAGATCGTGGACTGGATCAACGAGCTGCGTTCTGAAGGCATCTCCGCCCGTGTTTCGACGAAAATGCTCAAGAACAAGGCCGTCGAACTCAACCCGAACTTCTTCGGAGAGAGGCCGGCGCCATCCGATCTCCAGGGCTGCCAGAAGTACAACAACAGGCAGAACCAGTGGTGCAGGAGGTTTCTCAGGGTCTACCGCTTCTCTGTGCGAGCGGTCACCCGACAAGGCCAGAAACTTCCTTCTGGCTGGCCCGTGATCGCCATGCAGGCTATCAAGGAGTGGAGGACGCTGAAGTACGACGTGCCTTCCGCGCTCGAACTTGCGGACGGAGTCGAGTGCCTGGGGGTTGCGGCAGGGGCGGGAGCCAGCGCGAGCGGCAGCGGGGGTGGGAGTGGCGCTGTGATTCCTTCGGGTCCGCGTCTCAAGTTCGACTTGGCGCAGATCGGCAACATGGACGAAACCCCCACGTGGTTCGAGAGCCCGGGGAAGGACACTGTGAACGTGAGTACGTACGTAATAGTTTTGCTCTAGTTTTTGCTCTTACTGCGTTAGATGTAGCAATGTTGTCCTTTCCTGTGCCAACGATTCTTTTGGGCCACCCTTTTGATGATGAACTTTCTACGTGTGCGAAATTTTCGTCTTTTCCTTCGTTTCCTGTTCTCCTGTGATCTTGATCATGTGTTTTTGCACGCACTGCTGCCACTTTCCGAATCTTTACAACAAAAGTCGTTTCGACGCACCCCACGTTGATGTCGGTTTCGCTGTTCGGAATACCGCAGGCCACAGGCGACAAGGAGATTTCCGTCAAAACCGGCGGCAAGGAGAAGATGCGCATCACATCGGTTCTGACGGTGTTCGCCGACGGCACCAAGCTGCAGCCCCTTCTCATCTTCAAGGGTCAGCCCACTCCGAAGGGGAAGTCCCCCGCCGCCAACAGCATCGAGCGCGAGTTCAAAGACTACAGGGACAAGAAGGGCTGCGCGTACCCGCGAGGTATGGCCTACGCCGTGGACCCCAAGGGATGGCACTCCCAGCGGGTGTTCGACGAGGTGTGGGTGCCGCAGGTGTGGAACCGGCGCCCGGGGCGGCTCGGCCGCCTGGGCGGCTACCGTCAGCCTGACACGCTTCTTGCGTGGGACGACTACACCGTCCACAAGACGGACGCGTCTACCAAGGCGATGAAGGAGTCCAACACGACGCTGTTCCTCATCCCGGGAGGCCTGACTCCAAAGCTCCAGCCTTGCGATGGCCTGGTCAACAAGATCTTCAAGGCAAACATGTCCAAGCTCTACGACGACCACATGGCTTCCAAAGACGTCACGCGCAACGAGCGGGGCTATCCGGAGCCCCCTTCGCGGGGCTTGGTCGCACAGTGGGTCAAGAAGGCGTGGGATGCCTTGACCGCGGACGAAATCCGCTCGAGCTGGAGGAAGGCTGGCCTGCTGCTGCCCTACGACGGGTCGGGAGACGAGGCCTGGGCCAACAAGGAGCTCGATTCCAACGCCAAGGGGGAGCCCATCCGCGGGCCATCGGACGCTGCGGACAAGGCTGACCCGCCGTCAGGAGGCAAGAACGAGAACTTGCTGGAGGTGTTGGACATCGACGATGACGACGAGACGGGTGTGGTGGTGGTGGACGTGACCGACGACGAGGGCGGGGAGCTGTGAGGCATCGGCAGCGATGCTAGTTTTGAGAAAATGGCTTGTGGTGTCTTCTCATGTTTCCTTGGGTTTTTCCTGGCGTATCTTTCTCTGCCGTCGGGCGTCTTTGAGCGAGTGTGAAGAAAAAGTCGCCTGTTTTCTTCGCCGCGTGGAGTGCAACGTTGTTGGTGTTTCGTTGGTTTGCGGTTTGCGGTCGTTGATTCTTGTTCGTGGTGTTCTTACGTACCGGTATAGGTACCTAGGTAACTCTCTTTGGTTCGTACCCAAAGCAAGGCACGCAGCAGCCAACCTTTTGTGAGGGGGGCAGAAAGGATGGCGCACCCTGTGCCCACCGCCAATCATCGTATTGGGCGAGATACCTTCGACTTACAATACTTTCTTGCTCCATTCAAGCCCGTATCGTGTTTCCAACTTTTTTTGCGTTGAGAAGGTTGATCTCGCCGAGGCCATGTGCTCAGGCGTTCCCTCACCTCGGTTGAGCCACTAAGTTTTTTGTCCCGCGCCCCTTTAGGTACCGTAGGTCCCTAAATACACTACACGTGTTGGTGCAGGCATGTATACCTATCACACCTCCGCAATACCACACCCTTTCAGGTGTACGGCAGCAGCGGTTCGACTCTATACGGTAATGGTGTGCAGTGTATCGGTATCGCACCCCTCATTTTATCACACCCCAAAACACACGCTGTGGCTGTTCGTTTGTTATGACACCCCCAAACACACGCTGTGGGTGTTCGGACGCGCTATCACACCCCCTTGGGTATCACACCCCCTTGCTGTGGGCGTTCGGACGCGCTATCACACCCCCTTATTTATCACACCCCCTTGGGACCGATGCGAGCTGCACTTTATCACCGGGGGTACACAATGTATCACACCCCCCACAGCAGTATAGCAGACCGGGTGGTAATATTTTCAAACCCCAAAATGTTACCACCGGGGTTTCTTATATTGTGTCATTTACGGTATTCGTGTCATGCGACGATGCGCTTTCTTGCTGTTCGTTGACGTCGAAACCATCGCGTTTGCTTGCTATTTTTCTCGATGTGTCAACTTCTTGTTGGTGGACGATGAGGCGAACGCGTACGACTGCTGTATCTTTCTCGAGACCGAGGACCGAATGGACGAATCATCGCATTGGACCGCAGAGATACCAACAGTCTACTTTGGTGAGCTGCTGCTGCTGCTGCTGCTACATACGAAGACGAACCGGTCGATACCGACGCCGTACATGACGATCTGCAGTGCACAACGGTCTACCTCTTACAGCGCACAGCAGCAGCAGCAGCTTCTGCAGCAGAGAGTGCGCTACCAGGACAGTAAAATGCACGAAGTACAACGTACGAGCACACCGCGTGCATATGACAGATACACCGGGACCCGGGATCGATCAGAATGCAATTTCATGGGACCGAACCAAGGAAGGTTCCTGTGATTGGGCATCGACATTTTTTTTTTTATGATGTCTGTGTGAGAGACAAAGCGACAGCTGATGAGAGAGAGCGACACCGACCGCTAGCCAGTAGTAGCCAGGGGGAGAGGGGGGAAAGCTTCGGAGAAACATGGCAGGTGTCCTGGATAAGTTTCGGAAGGTCACGAAAACGACGAGAACCCCGAAGGTGAGCAGAGGGGGCGGCTTTGCGATGTGGATGCACAACAGCAGTCTGGTGGACGAAGATGCTGCAGCAGCGTTACTTTGACAAGCGGCCGCCTGGGAACCCGGCGAGTTACGAAACAACAACACTGCAAAACCGAAGAACTTCCGTTCGAGATCTCTGCCCGAGTTGCACGAGCCGCAGTCAGGGTGCACCGCAGCTAGAAGTGCAGCCGATGTGTAGACTACAGGTAGTAGTGGACTGCTGCGCGTGTATCTGATGTTGAGTACTGCAGTAAACGGAGCAGTCAGTCAGTGAATCTCTCAAAGAACCAATACCGCGGCAGCATCAGCAGAAGTTATTCGTATTCGTCAGTTGTAGTGGAGGATCGGTCTCAAAGGTTCTCAAGCCTTGTGTGAATTCACCCTTCAACGATCTGTTCTGTTGTAGTAATATCAGCGGGGAGCAAAACCAACCCCCAAGGCACTCCAGGAGGAGGGCAGGACCCACTCCACCCACAGCAGCACATACTGCTTCGTTCCTACGGAAACGTCACCGAGAATATCAAGCAAGTCGCTCACGCGCGCGGTCCCAGTGCACGCTCGCGTGCTTGTCGTTCGGTGCGTGTCGCTTTGTCGCGGTGCGGGGGGCGCGGTCTTACGGCAAGAGGAGCGACTTTTGTGGAGGGCCGAGCTTGCTCGCTAAAGCAATTATTATATTAATACTACAAGTATGAGACGGTTGTCTCCAGGTTCACGTGTGAGCAAGTTCGCTTTGAGATTGTTGTTGTTGTTGTTGTTTCTCACATCTCTCCCTTCTTCCCCTCGCTCCTCGACAAGCTTTTGCTTAGACATGGGTTGTAGCGAAGGGGGGGGTCTTTCTGGCGAGCAGGGCTAGACTCACCCTCAAGGGATGACCGAAACCTTCTTGCTGCTGCGCAT